TATACTCGAGTATATACGGTAACTAGAAATCACAAGCCCCCGTAGCAAAATTTTGTATGGGGCCCTGTGATTTCTAGTTACCGTATATACTCGAGTATAAGCCGTCCCGCATATAAGCCGAGGTACCTAATTTTACCACAAAAAACTGGGAAAAATATTGACCCGAGTATAAGCCGAGGGGGGCACTTTTCAGCACAAAAAATGGGCTGAAAAACTCGGCTTATACTCGAGTATATACGGTAACTAGAAATCACAAGCCCCCGTAGCAAAATTTTGTATGGGGCCCTGTGATTTCTAGTTATTCCCTTGCAGAGCCCACCTGAGATCCTACACAGTCCATCTGAGAGTGACCCTGCAGAGCCCGCCATAGACCCCCTATGGTGGGCTCTGCAGGGTCTCAGGTGGGCTGCACACCTCTTACCTGTCAGCCCTGATACGCTGTCCGCCTCCATGGTTGCTAGCAGGCCCCGCCTCCTCCGTCACTGGGCCCCACCTCCTCTTCCGTCGCTGGGCACCGCCTCCTCTTCCATCATTGGGCCCGCCTCCTCCTCTGCTTCTGACACCAGGCCCAGCCTTCCTCCTCCACAGCTGCTGGCTGTCACTGACTCAGCAGCGGGTGTGGAGGAGGAATGCGCTGCTGCACAGATCACTGACAGGTTGTCGGTGATCTAATAGCGACACGTTCCTCCTCACACCCGCCTGTGACAGCCAGCAGCCTGAGATGCCATAGCGACCCAGGTGGCCCACACGGCATCAGGGGGATGTCCTGGCCGGGCCCCCTTGTGCCCCGGGCCCCATAGCGGCCGCCTGGGTCACTATGGCGATTGTTACGCTACTGATTCTAGGTGTATCAAAACCAAAAGGTGTGCAAAGTCTTACTGTGTGTTTTAAAAGAAAGCAGCCCTAACCTGTGTAAAAAAAACTGCCCCTGCCAACATGTTGCAGAGAAGGACCCTTGCTCTCTGTGTGGGAGCAGTAGTCTCTGCAGAGGTTTGATACACGCCCGGCTGGTCACACTTAGAGCTCTGCAATTAGAAAAGCTCACAATCCCTGCTAATTGAGGGCTCTAACTCAACTAAACGTTTGTTCTGTCCTATTTGCAGAGCTCTAGTTGGGACTCTAGCAGGGGGTATCTCAGACCTCTGCAGAGAGACCACTGCTTTTACAGAGAGAAAGCAAGGGTCCTTCTCTGTAGCATGCTGGCAAGGAACTGGCTTTGACAAAAATATTTTGGTACTACTTACCAAGACAATAAACAGACAATTTAGTTGTATTACCCTTTTATTTATTAAATGTTTTTGGCTGACACGTGACATAATAAATAATACAGATAACTGTGAGAATGAACAAATCTTCTCATCTATATTCTTGAGGTATATAAATAACAGTTATAAATATGCATTTAGGCATTACTTGCTTAAGAGGAGGAGGAATTCCACACAAGCAACCTGTATACTGGGAAATAGGTAGGCTACCATTGCTGACCTCTCCATCTGGCTGTCATGCTGATTCCATTGCTTCACCTACTCACACCAGACATGCAGAGTAACTGACTTCACTGACTGCATGCTTCATCCAAGTCAGTAAAGCCAGAGGCAGCCAGCCAAATAACATTTACAAAGGAGGTCAGGAATAGCAGTCAACACATTCCACTGACCAATGGGTCTAGTTTAATAGTGGTATTGGGCATTTCAGATGTCCCATATTTACAATGAGATAAATACAGGGCCTTGTTCTGGCAGATTGTTGATTTTCTTTCTTAAACGCACAAGGGTTGCGCAACACATTCCAGCCATCCAGATAGTAATGGAATCAGTCCCAGTTGAAGCCTATTTCCACCAATTCAAAGCCCTGCGATATAGACAAAAGATAACATATTAGCACAAATTGTATTACTTTACAGTAAAAGTCACCATACAGGTTACAGTCTGACTGTACAATCTCCTTTAGATCAATAAACACCTATGCAGGCAAGAGACTGCCCTATTGGATACAAATCAATTGGATAGTCCTTTTATAGTTTTAGTAAATCTGAAGGAGATTGTAGAACAGATTGCATAGTCAGACTGTAATGTGTATGAGGGAGCTTATGAGTATAGAGACATTGTAACTATACATAGTATGAGGAGGTGAGAAAAATAAAACCAAAGAAGCCCTAGCAGTGCAATAGAGGCCTCTTAAAATGTATTTTATATGCATGTCTAACTTCACATACCACATTTGTAACAAACCCCAAAAAAGGGGTTAATTCCACATTCTAACTTAATGGGCAAAACATTGTAAAAAATCCCTTTTTGCCCTGAGGCCAACCGTGCATTTAGAACTACAGTTTACAGCTTGCTCCATTGGTCATAGGCTTTAATAAAATAATCAGCTGGTCCCCTGAGCCCTGGTCCTGGTATCCTGTTTTAGGGTGGCTCCTTTCCCTTGATGGGTCCTATGGAGCCACCCTTGTGTGTGCTAATAAAGCTAATGGTGTCCCCACGAACAGGCACACCAAGATAAGCCACTTCCCCCTGCTCCCATCTCTAAGAGGATGTGTTTAGTGGGTCAGTAGTGCCTACTAGTATCCCAGTGTGGACCAGGTGGAGGGACTAATCCTTTACTGTCCAACTGAAGCAATGTAATAATGACTTCTGGGAGTTAAATTCTAGAACAAGGTAGCAATGTTACAGGAGGTGTCAGTACTGGTTCTCGACACCCACCATCCATGGTCCTGCATGCAGCAAGTGGTCAAGTGACCATTATAAAAATCATTAAAATGGTTTTAATAACAATCAATATTTGGCCATTCGCTGATGCTTAAAAGAGAACTATAGACCAAACTTTTTTCTTTTCCATAGTTCTCTTCAGGGTCACAGGAGGACATATTCTAATGTCTTCCTGTGACCCAAAACCCTGCATATTGCCCGCTATATGCTGACAGTGCAGAGCCCCGCTGCAACCAGGACGGATCCCAACAATATTGTCGAGATCCAGCCCGCTGCCTGATTGACAGCTGGCTCTTCCTCTCTAGACGCAGAGCTAGCTGTGTCCGCCCTCTCCCCTGTCCTCCCCTGTCCGAGAAAGGGGAGTGTGGGATCCCTGCGGGGAGCGGTGACTGACAGTCACCACTCTTTGCAGGGAGATGCTCAGGAACTGAGCGATCAAAGATACTGTATGTGATCGCTCGCTTCCCGAACAATAGAGCCGACATGTGACAGCTTCAGTGTATTTCACTCCCCATAATTCTCCTTTAAGGTATAGCTTCTTAGAGTATGAAGCTTGGGTTCACGTCTATGTTAAAGAATATCTAAACACAATGTAGCGCTCACCCCCGAAGGAGCCGCTGGATGATCGGGTCTTCTGTTTCACCTCTGTGACACACCACAAGCAATGAACCCACAGCACACCAGCACACCTTGTGAAGTTTTATAACAGATTTAATGACTATGGAATAGAACAAACACTTAACGGCTCCCCAATCACATGTAATACAACCAATAACAGGATAAGGCAATCTGACACGCAGCAGCAATCTATTGCATGCAGGAAAGCCTGCAATGTCAGAATGTCTCAGATAATATACTTAGATTGAATGCAATCAACATTGATATCTCTACTTAAAAGTATCTACTCCACTCTAAACTACTGGCCAGTAGTACTGTCCTAGGCTAGCCAACGTTGAGGCCCTTGCTGTATAGCAGATGTGAACAATAAACAGGGTGTCACTGCGGCCAAAGGCCTCTCACCACTCCTCAAATCAAAGGGGAAGAGATGAAGTCTGCTGGCAGAAGCTGGATGTCCTCTTTCTCTATCAGGTCGATTCTGGCGAAAGGTGCAGTCATCTGTGTCCCTTGTAAGAAGTTTTCACTCACTCAGGATACTGGCCGTCGTCTCCCTCTGGATGGCTGGATCACCCCAGTGGCTGGTTCGGCAGTGCAACTAGGCCTCGATGTCCTTTGCGTTAACCAAGTCACCGGACCTCACTTCAGACACTCGATTGGGTCCTCTCCGATTCAGCAACTCAGATCAGTCTCTCTATAGACGGCTGCACAGAGCCTGTGTGTCCCTATATGTCAGCGGTGACAACACAGCTCTGTTTCACACAGTCTTAACCCACACAGGGTTACACAGGTCTGTCCTCTTCAGATGGCTGTCCCAGACTGAGGCTGCTCTGCAGTTTCAACCCATAAGCCTCCTGTTTCCTCCCCACAGCCTCCTGGGTAATGCAGTTCTCAAAAATCCTTTCAGCAAAACGTATCCAAATCAGCTCTGTATACAGTCTCCACAACCTGTGCTCTCTGGCTCCACCTGCAGCTGCAATATCTTTCCTCTTAAAGGACCTGACACCACAATACGGCTACATTAAGAACAAATATTTATTTAAATTGCAGCATACCAGTATTCAGATATGGTGGCTGCATCGTTTTCTTTTTTGCAGACTTTTTTCCCTTTATTTTCACCTGGTCATTCTGCCAGTGACACACTTCCTCTCCTAGGGTGACAACACTTGCTAACTGTACTGTATCTATGAAGGAGCAGTGCTGCCACCCTAGGACAGGAAGTAAGACTACAGGGAACAGAGGTGAACTGGACAGGGATGATAATACTGATTGAGATTTTAGTGCAGCAGAGATAGAGGCAGCGTGCACAGGAAATTACAAAGGTTTTGTGTAGATTAACAGGTGTTTTTCAGCACTTACAGAATTCTTTAAGAGACAAAACATGGGGACAGATATTGGAGTAAGGCTGTTAAATTTTTTTTTTTTGGCTAGACATACACATAAGCCGTCATCTACAGCTGCCCTAAGAGATGAGACGGTACCCACCAAAATAAATAAATAATAACAATGTCCTACCTGTTTACTAGTACTAGAAGGATTCTCCAGGATTGTTGAAGGTATTAACATTCCTTTATTCAGTTTTTCTGTCAAGTAAAGTAAGTAATCATGAATTCAATACATGGAGAGATGTTTGAGCAGTCATCCAAGTATGAAACTTAGAAGTAGTTTCCTTACCATTAATATTTGGCAACAGCATCTGAGTAAATATGTTCTGAATGCCCTTCTCTGATGCGGCATCCTAGAAGGCAATGAGGAATAGTACACTTTACATATTACAGATAAGGAACAAGTTGTATGTCTTCTACTCAGTGAAGGAAATAATGGTTAAATATTAGACTCTAAAGAAATGGTGTCAATGGCTGGAAGTACCACCAATGACCACCAATGTAAAGCAACTCTTCAATTTTTATGGTCATGGTTTTCATTTTCTAACCATAGGGATGTTCAGATACCAGTGCCGATACTTGGCAGTTTCACGAGAACTACCAGGGTGGCAGCGTTTGCAGCCAGAACCTAGCTCTGGTGCTCCACCGCTGTCCTGAAGTCATTAGTCTGTATTGTTTTAGAAAAACTGTCACATGATAGTAAACAAAAATGTATCGGTACTTGTATCTGTGAGTACTTGGGCAAGTATCAGTACTTGTACTTGAAAAAATTGCATTGGTGCATCCCTGATATATATTAATACCAAAAAAAAAATCACACATTAAACAGAGATGTACAAATCCCAGGAGCTCCGTGTGCTCATTACAAATGACAGCTTCCTCCTAACGTTTGAATTTTTCTCTAGTCTAGTATTGGAGCTGGATAAGTATCTGTACTTGTACTTGTACAGAGTACGGTACTTGGTATCTGAACATAACTAATAATTATTTTTTAATACTTGTTTCATTTCATTATTAGTCCCAAAATAAATTTTTTTATCATATAGAGTAGCCATGTGCATCAAATATGCTAAGTACACTGCGTTACGGATTAATGTATAAATCAGATCGCTGGTAGTAGTTAGTTTCTTTCAACTGGACTTGTTCTGTAATGTTAAAGATGTTTCAAGCCTGGAGAGCTGAGCTACTGCGAACTGACTTCAGGGCTTCTGCTGTGATCTTTGAGGATGAATTGCGCCAAGGTACCTGCAGCTACAGAGGTCAATGAGGACTTAAAGGAGAATTAAGGGGAGATTGAAATACACTTTCTTAGAGCCGAAATGTGACACTGAAGCTCTCACAGGTCAGCTCCATTGATCAAGAACTAAGTGATCACATACCCCTGATCGTTCAGTTCCTGATCTTCTCCCTGCAGAGCGGTGACCGTCAGTCAGCACCGACTGGAGGGACAGACAGGGGAGGGGGTGGGAACAGCTGGCACTGGCTCTAGAGAGCCAGCCGTCAATCAAGTAGGGGGGTGGATCCCATCAATATTGTCAGGATCTTTACTGGCTGCAGCGCGGCTCTGCACTGGCACCATATAGCGGCAATAGCCCACTATTTGCTGACACATGGCTGAATCAAAACAACAGGGTATATTTTTAGCTGACTGCACTCTAGAGCTGTAGGGACCCTTATAACCCCTCCCACCACACCAGAGACTCAGTTTTTTTCCTAGTGTCCTTAGGTCTGTCAGTGTCTCACTGGGCTCTTTGTCACCAGGTATCAACCATGCAAATTTGTAACGGTGGCCACCTGGTCTTCATTGCATACTTTCACATGGTTTTATAAGGTGGATGTTCAGGCATCAGCTGATGCTGATTTTGGTTGCATGGTTCTGCGAGCAGCAGAATAGGCTGTTCTATGCTATGCAGCCTGGTGGTTGAAGTCTGTTCCTGACCCTCTATTATTGCTCGTGGACATCACAGTTGTCTTGATTCGGCCCTGTGTCCTGTACTGTATAATCAAGCCAATATAGGAACCCAATATAGGATTTTTGACAAATCTGTCAAATCTTTTTCTTGGAGTAGATTATAGGACACTTTGAAGAGTTTCCCACTCACATCCTGTTGTGTCTAAATGTATGAACCCTACAATAAGCTAGAGTGGCCCTAATCTAAATTTACAGGGTTATACTGAAAAGGGTGAAGAGTTTGGAGAAGGCAGGAGAAGTGAACAATCTAGGACAACATAGCTGATTTGGAAAAATTATCCAGTTCAGCTCACTTTCCAGTTCACCTATGTTGTCCTAGATTGTTCACGTCTCCTGCCTTCTTCAAAAACGTTTCACCCTTTTGTGAATATCCTCTATTGCTTACAAAATAACAAAGGACCTGCTGTAAGGTGAAGGGTTATATAGGCTCCAACAACTATGGCCAGTGTCCAGTCACCTGATGATACCAGTTGTCTTGATTCACCCTGTGTCCTGTACTGTACTCCAAGAAAAGGATTTTACGGGCACGTTAAAAAGCCTACATTTTATTATTACATATCTATACAATGTGGTGTTATTATGTCTCTGTGTGTATCCGCCTACAGCAAATACAATAACTTCACAGGGCACAATAGTACTGAAAATAATGATGCTGGATTTAAAGGGACATCATTTAAATAACACAAACAGTATGATTCATGAGCATTAACAAGTGCAAGACATAAGTCAGTATTACTGGAAATCCTCAATGAGCTCTTCATCTTACCTTTGATTCTTTAGTGTTGGGCTCGGTCTTGTCTATTTGGAATCTGCAACGAGACATTTATTTTCAGTGAGCTCAGTAATAAGCTAGCACAGTACCTAAACTGTACCTAAACTTTTAACATTTTGAATAGAGTGGAGAATATGTAGAAGCCCTGACAACATTTCATTGCTGTCTGTGTCCCTGCTGGGGAGATTCATCCACTCTAACTGCCCTGGTGACCACTTGCACCAAAACTGAAAGTGAGAAAAAAATTCTAATTTTGAGTTGTTTTGGAACAGGAATAGAGGGGGAATATTCCAATGGGGACATTTGTTGCAATGACAAGTGTCTATGAAGGGATTGACCTCACTTTGAAGAGTTTCCCACTCACGTCCTGTTGTGTCTAAATGTATGAACCCTACAATAAGCTAGAGTGGCCCTAATCTAAATTTACAGGGCTATACTGAAAAGGGTGAAGAGTTTGGAGAAGGCAGGAGAAGTGAACAATCTAGGACAACATAGCTGATTTGGAAAAATTATCCAGTTCAGCTCACTTTCCAGTTCACCTATGTTGTCCTAGATTGTTCACGTCTCCTGCCTTCTTCAAAAACTTTTCACCCTTTTGTGAATAACTCGGTTTCTCCTAAGCCCAAGTAAATTGTTTGCTTCTGCTAGCTTCTGAGGAGTGTTTATCAGTAGATAGCATGAAAATATAAAATGCATTGGGTCATGAATATTTATTTTGCCCTAACCAATCACTGAGGGGTTTATGCCAGTGATATTGACTGGAGAAGGGAAGAATAATTAGGGGAAATCTTGTAGAAGGGTCCTTCCCTCTGCGCTGTAAAGCTTTCTCGCACAGGGCGCCTAAAAGCCTAAGGCCGGCCCTGCTCCTGAGCATTGCATGGAGAAGATGTGTGTGTGTGTGTGTGTGAAGGATCCAGTTTGGATTGCCAGGCCTGCTGTCTGAGGAGGATGTGAGCCCTGGAGTCCTTGCCTCTCAGGCCTGCTGCTTGGGGAAACTATAGCTCCAGAGAGGTCCAGTTCATGCTGCTAGGCTTAAAGGTTCTCAAATTGCCCGTCTGGGCAACTGGACTGTTAGAGGGCACCTGTCCATCTGGTCTATAAAAACTGTATTAGCCAGTGGCAGGATTTAAAGATAATAGAAGATACTACTGAGTGGAGGGAAGTTTTTCTGCTGTTTATGGGTATCCAATCCTATCTCCCCTGGACAACAATGCCAATTAAATAGCCAAAAAGAAGATGGATGAAGTGGAATTCTGTCTCCCTGAGTGGATAGGTGGGTGACTGAGAGCAGCCACAAAGCAAACTACCAGTAATAAGGCTAGGAGGGCCAATTAAACTCCAGCATTTCCTTTGGGGGTCATTGTTACATACAGGAGAGGAAGTAAAGAGAAATCTCCCCCAATGGTATACTGAGGGCAAACATCTGACAGGTGTTTTTACCTTCCCCTAATCTATCCAAAAATGTTTTTTAAAGCTACCCCTTAGTTACACTGTAATTGCACAATTTGTTATTGAAAACAGTCTCACAAATATAATTTTATTTTATTGTATGCGCAGTGCTAAAGTAAATGTATTGTATAACTAGTCAGGTAATACTCAGTGCCCCTGTACCTGTATTGGGCAGATCTGGAGGATGCCATTGCTTCTACCTCTGCACATGATAGTTACCTTGTTTTGATGATAAACTGAGTTAAAGTCCCACAGTCCCTGTGTGTGTTGTAAAGTATCCACCACTCCAAGCTCACCCTCGTGATGGACTACAATCTTAAGTTTAGTTTAAGAATTGGTATTAAGATTGTAGTCCATCATGGAGCAAGCTTGGAATGGTGGATACTTTACAACACACACAGGGACCATGGGGAACAAAAGTAGCCACCCTCCAGAAGGAAGGACAGTGTCAGCACCAATTCAGAGATGATTTGAGGATCTACAGCTGAGCGATACACAAATAAGATAACATTTTTTGTTAATAGTTAGGGTACTTGAATGCATTTTAAAGATTTAACTCCTGAGTTTAGTGGCACTTTAATCAACACTTTTAGTTTTGGATATATTTAAAATGGATGACAGGCTCACTTTAAGTGCAGGCATCAAAATAAATAGTCCCCTTGAAAACCTATGGGATTTTATTCAGATATCAGAAGGTATCAACATCAGGGAACTACAGAAAGGTAAACTTCATATCTCTCAGTTGCTGTCATTTTCCCATAATCCTATTTATGTGTATGGGAAATAATGAATACAATTGGCTACAGCAGTATGGATGACCCAGATCTGATTACCTGTGCAGGCTGATTGAAGCACTCACATTCAAACCTTGGGATCCTTTAGCATCTGTTATAGAGATTTTACCGTTCAAGACAGCCAGCTATACATGATGAAAAAGAAAATGTGTAACTGAGACTGCCACGTTTTTCTCTTTTACATATACAGTATGTTTTAATAATGAAGATACTCACTATTTTTGCTTCATGGACATACTGATTTTTGCCGTCAGCAGATTTGACATGAATTTGAAAAAGTCCTTGAAAGTCCATGGTTATATTCTTGGCTTTCAGGGTCACTTTTGGACTACTAGTAACGTTCAAAATGATTTTTGCAGGTGTTGGGCTTGTAAAATGCTTTGAAATCTTAAAAAAAGAAAAGAAAGTTGCATGATAATTAAAGCGCAGTAGAACCTTTAGTTTAGCTGCAGTAAGTTCATTCCGGTTCTATCAAAGCTAAAGGTGTGACATGTGCACCAGAAAAACATAAGTTTTGTTTCGATTCAGATTTTGCGTTATTTCGTTTTTTGGGATTCGGGTCCGAAAATAAATTTGTTTCGGGATTCAGATGAAATTTGTTAGCGGTAGTCTGTACCGTCTGACGTTCATGTCGTTTTTGTTGCGTTCGTTGCAACACAGTGACATTTGAGAAAAAATTTTTTTTTCCCCCAAATGTAATTTTGCTTCAACGAAAATTTCGTCCAATGAACGAACGTTCGTACAGACTACCGCTAGCGAATTTCGGAATAGGAAATTCAGATTTGTTTGCATTTGTTATATCTGTAATTTGGAATTTGGATACATCCGAATCTCCGAATTTTTGTCCAAAATTCGTTTAGGAACGAAACGAATCGCACTAGTGTTTAATGTCTTACAGTAAGTAGAAAAGTCTGTTTCCTCCCAGTGGCTGCATAGTGGGACCCTTGCTCTCCCTTGTAGGGAAGCAGTGGTCTCATTGCAGAGTTTCGACACATCCCCTTACTGAGTTAGTGTCAAAACTCTCCAATCAGCAGTGAGTATGAGCTTTGCGAATTGCAGAGCTATAGGTCTTATTCAGTAGGGGGCATGGCAGACCTCTGCAGTGGGACCACTGCTTCCCCTCAGAGAGCTAGGGTCCCATTTTGCAGCAGGTGGCAGGGGTTATATACTCAGGCTGTGGCTAGTTTGGCATGGGTAATACAGTGGCATAGTGGTTAGTGCTTCTCTCTTGCAGCACAGGGGGTCCCTGGTTCGAATCCCAGCCAAGTCACTATTTGCAAGGAGTTTGCATGTTCTCCCTGTACTTGTGTCGGTTTCTTCCAGGGACTTCAGTTTCCTCCCACACCCCAAAGACATGCTGGAAAGCTAATTGGCCCTGTATGTATGCATGTGAAATAGGGACTTTAGATTGTGAGCTCTTTGAGGGTAGGGACTGATGTAAATGTGCATTGTGTAAATTGTCAGCGCTATATAAATATCTGTAATAAATAAGAAAACAAACTGTAAGACATTGGATGCCTTCTGTTTTAATGTACTTGGAATATATTTACTGTCGGTAATTTTAACTGAAGGTTCGATTGAGCTGTAAATTATATGAATTTCTCATGTATCGTAAAAGCATTGCTGATAAATCTACATATGTGCCCACCTCTGGTACAGCAGCTGTTAGTTCCGATGTTGTTAATTTTACAGATTCCTGTTGAAGATATAAAACAGACAGTAACCCAGTTAGTTCCCAAATGCCTCAGGTATTAAAAAGTGATGGCAAAGAGAAGCAGAGGTGATGCAATTGGCAGTTAATTAGGTGTCATTAATATTATTATGTTTTACTATGGCTACACTACATACTGTACTGTTACTGTTACATACATACAGTATTTTTGTACTCACTAGACTAGGGTCACCATACATTACATACTCAAATGTTAAACCCAACTGCAGCAAACCTTTTTATATTTTATTTATTTTGGCGAGAGCCGGGAAGGGATTGACACTCCGTTACCTTTTAAATATCTATGTCCGCTTTGGATATACTTTATCACCTCACTTCCTGTCTCAGGACAAGTAATTTGGGGAACTGGTGTTATTTGAGCAGAAAAACATACGTAGCACAAAAATACACCATAAAGGTTCTAACACCCCCATTGTACAACACTGAAAACAGTGTTGATGTGTCCTGTCTCTGTGACAACCTGCCATTGGGACCCAGATGTACAACCCCCAAAAGCAAACTGCATTTGGGGTTGCACGTCTGTATAAGCGCATACAAACACATGCAGCTAATGATTTATATGGGCATCTGTACACTGCACCTGTGGCTCCCAGGTGGGGAAATAAGCCCAATTTTTACATTGTATTGCCCCAGGCACCCAAGTGCATCAGCCTGTAAACCGTTTTTTTTTTTTTCTTTTCAGAAATGCAAAGAACTGTGCGCTTTTAGTTAAGGAGACACTCTGGGATTTTTGCAGCAGTGGGAAGATTCAGTTAGGCATACAAGGTAATATCAGTGCTGGCCGGGATGACCAGACGCTCTGAGGGCAATAACTAATAAGACAGCTAAACAAATTTTCCATACTGCATATCCTGCAAAGGGGATCTCTGACTAGTGCCAATCATTCTGAAGTCTCCTCCTGTTCATCTTCTCTTCTTAATTAGAATGTTACGGGGGTACAGGGTCAGTGTCAACAGCAACCTCAGCAACCCTGCCAATGCAGTGACGGATATGTGTTATTTTCACAACCATACAGATTTTCTATGTGTAAATTGCCTCAACAGCCCCCGATGGCTCACCCTTCTACCCCACAGGTCCCATGGCGTGCTATGACTATTGTTACACCATTGCTTCCTGTCCCTCAGATATAACAGGAAATGAAAGAAACTCCCCAGAAATTAGAGGAAATTTCTTTTAGACATTCGTTAGCCGGAGATTTTTTCCCATTGAAAGATTTCCCCTCACTTCCTGCCTTGATGACAAACATACAATTTTGGTTTTCACATCACTTTCTGCTCTAGTGACTATTTCACCAGGACAGAAGTGGTGACAATAATTATCAAAGCAAATAATCAGGAACAGGTTCAGAGATGGAAAGAAACATAGAGGAAATGGGCACCAGGCATTGCTTAGCAGTAGAGATAACACTCACTTTGTCACAATGCTGCATTCACTTGAAAACAAAGTTGGGCTCATATTTCCTTATCTATGTGATGAATACAACACACAGAGCTATTTGCCTTTCAGTGCTAGGAGACCTTGTCACAACTTGTCATGATGCTTAGCATATCAACTAAAACTAGCACTGGATTACTTAATCACCTCTGTCTAACCACAACAACACTCATGATCTGTACACTGTTGTTTCCATAAAACCTTCCTCTTTTTTTAAAGAAAAGAAGACACCTTAGCAGTTTCCGATGCTTAATCCTCCACCCCATTCTTTGGCCAACACCCATTCTCCTCATCCTTAAGTCACCCGCATAGCTGCGAGAGCCACTAGCACCCTCTGAACACTTCCCCTACAACTCCGCCATAGTTTCAACTGTTGAAATGGGGTTACTATGAGGTTTATTACCAAAGGCTGAGTGGTGAAAATTCACTTTGGAAAGAATACCCAATCACATGCAAGCAAAATGAAATATAGTATTTTTCCTTGCGCATAATTGGATAATGGAAGTCTCCTCATTAACTAAGCTAAGGGAAAGTTCCTTTGCAAAATTAAAATCCCCTTGCAAGTAAACAGCTGATTTGCCTTTAGTAAATCAGCCCCAATGAATCTTTCAAAAGCTCATTTCAATATGCATTGTGATGGAGTAAACAGGGGAGTTCCTAATAGTGATTTGCAGCAATAAAGTCATCATTGGTGATTCTCTAATAATTTATGTGTTGTTCAATGTTATGATCATTTTCTAATCAGTTCACACAGACTGTAGCAGTTCTATTATTAACACCTTGTTAAATGACAATATCATCTTTCAAGCACTGCATAGCATGTCACTATCATACATATGGAAAAAAGCACTTACTTGTAGCCAGATGAACAAATACATTTTTAAAAGGGAGCTGGGATAATTACATATTTGTTTCTTTTCACATTTTACCTTTTACTTTCTAACCTTCACCAGAAAACAATGATGGCTGAAATCTGATTGGTTGCCATAAGCATTATCTCCCGATTCCTCTAGTTGGTATATCTAAGTCACTTGTACTTACTGAGGCATTGGAGAGCATGTCATTCATAGCTCCACTTGAGTAGTATGCGGCTACAAGGGAATTTAGAGAGGCCTCTGATATCCCAGCACAAGACCTGGAGACCGCCTCGGCAGGCAAAGTAAATGGAGCAGGAGAATAATTTTCCATGGTCACATTAGGCACACGGAACTGGCCCTGTAATTGGGATGCAATTAATTTTAAAGTGACATTTTTAAAATTTTTACTAAATAAATGCACAACATTCACAAACAAAAAGCAAATAAATTAATATGATCGATATGCAATAGTCTGACCAACAGGCAACTTTCCCTAAAGCTAAACTTCTAATGACCTGACTTCAGCAGCTCTCCACAATGTGGGGGCTCCTCAGAAAATAGGGGTCACCCAAACTGGGAAATCCACATGAAAAAGTCCTAAAGAGAACCAAATGATTATCTCAAGAGTTTAAAGTCCTTTATTGTTAAGACAGCCAACACATTTCGGGACCAGAAATACATGGCATAAGAATAATAATAATACATAGAATAAGGAATGTATATGCTTTGTTGCCCTGATTAAGGGAGATTTCTGGCCCCTGAAACACATTGGCTGCCTTTTATCTTCTTGTTGTTATGTGTGATAATATCAATAAAGTACTTTGGTCTATTGAGATGATCTGGCACTCTTTGTATTCACAGTGGGGGGAAAGGAAATGGTCAGTGTGTTAGCGTGGCAGAATGTATTTTAGCTATGTACTTAGCAGCTTTCCCAGAGTACAGATTTAAGATGGCTTTTTTTTTTGCCAGTTTTTGTCATTGCTTTGTACACTCAGCTGCGGAAAGTAGGATCCATAACAGACAGTTGTAATATACATTTTGAAAAACATGGTTGACACAGCACAAAGAGAATGCCTCTCGGTAACTACCCCATTCAACTATATCATGGGGTTACACTAGAGCAGTGTTGGAAAGCCTACCTTAAAACTCAGGTCAGCATACATTTCGGAAAACTCTGGATCACTAATAAGTGACAAATCAGCAGTAATATTTTCAGATAATGTGATATTCACTGCAAAAAAACGTGAAAATGCATTAATGTTTTTATTTCTGTTTCTCTAATTCAAGCCATACAGGAATATTTCACAACACAACATTTGGTGTTGCACCCCAATGGTAGGGAGTATTAAGATTAATTCACCAATTTAATCAATAATCACTTGTATTACCGGTCTATCTCAGCGAGCGCCCACCATGGACTGACTCATACACGAAATAAAAAAATCAGACAATTTTTTTCACGGTTACTGCCCATGAATTATTGTACTTCACTTTTCTATATGGATTTACTCACTGGATTGAATCATCAACTTGAAAGGTTAGCCTGATACAATTGGCCATAAGTATGTGTGGTGGGGCCCCGCACAACAAAACCAATTATTTTTTAATCTTCACCTCAAAGGGAAATTCTCTAGTGATACAGCATACCAACTGCTTTCATCCCAATTATAGCTTATAGCATAATTATAGCAAAATTATAGCATAATTTTCCCTATGCTATTTCTACCTGTATATTTCTTTATCTTGACGTATCTTGAACTTACACTCAGGGGCATACTACAACGGGACAACTGTCATTTTTATAGTATCTTCTTGTGACATTAAAAAATACCATCAAGATAGCAATATGATATTTATTGTGATTGTGTCATGATGAGGCAAGGAGATCGTTCAGACACAGACTGCAGCACTGGTTTAGAGGCAACGGTGGGCAACTTATGACAGCTGACTCCGGTGACTAAAAGGGGGTTTTCAGAATGTTAAATACCAGTATGGTGCAAGAGAGGAGAAAAAGGGGAGAGAGGGTTGAGGGAAGGGGGTTTAATGGGCTTTAATAAGGAACAGAGCAATGTATAGTGCTCTAGCAGCAAGGCATTAACCACGAAAGTTGATTTATTGCTTACTCTAGGTTACTGTTCACTAATTTAATTTTAATTCATTTGCAGCAAAATTGGGATAACACTTTTATATTCAATACAGGTTCTCATTCACATAGCATAAGGGGTGCGAGAGTTGAGGAAAGGGGGTTTAATGGGCTTTAATAAGGAACCGAGGAATATATAGTGCAGTGATCTTTAGCAGCAAGGCTTTAACCAAGGAAAGGTAATGTATTGCATACTCTAGGTTACTGTTCACTAATATAATTTTTATTAATTTGCAGCAAAATTGGGATAACACCTTTATATTCAATACATGTTCCCATTCACATAGCATAACATTATCAAAACATTTCAAAAAACTTTTATTTGCATTTTTATTTTCTGAACAGTTTTAGCTCTTTTCTTCTATGTAATGTTAAGGATAGGGCTGGGCAGTAATGTTTGTCATACTTTAGCCCTGTCTGTATTGTTCTGGCAGATTTCATTATCAGTTGCAAACTAGATGTGCACACTGTCTGTCCTAACAAAACGTTAAAGATCTCAAAGCTTGGGTGGTACATTGTATGTTAATGCACTTTAATAAAAAAAATGTTCGCCTAATTGCTAAATGTTATCTATTATAAGCAATAGAATCTGTCTGTAGTGTTCTATTTATAAACCTGTTCTAAAGAAACAACTAGAAAGGTAAAAAATCATTTAAAAATATTTTTTTTTTTGGTACGCTGTGAGTATGAGAACACAAACATACAGTGAGGGCTCCTCAAATTTGACTGCAAGTGTGGAAATACACTTTAAGAAAATTATAATGCACTGTTTTATTAGTCATTTCTCTAACATGTAAGGGCATGTAACGTGTTTAAAGTGTGTTTTCAGATTACTTACTCTCTAAATTATTGAGGGACGCATCCCAGCGAAGAACTTGACTTCTCAGAGCAGAACATTTGGATATATATCTATATCTATATATATATATCGATATAGATATATATTTATATATACACACATATATACACATACATACATACTGTATACACACACACTGTATATTAAACAAAACACCACACCATATACTCTTTGTTCTCTTACCAAGAGTGTTGATACATTAAAGCTTTGATAAGTGTTTTTTTCTATATTGCACACTATACAATTATTGCTCTTGAATATTTAATGCTCATGGATGCTTGTGTAGTTGTGTATGTACATAAAAGGTAATATTTAACAGTTTTCTGCTAATTTAATTTTTTTATTATGGCCGAAAATAAAACATGGATGTTCATGGATAACACAAAAATATTTCAGGAAGTATAGCTAAGCCCAAGAACAAAAACTCAATATATTGCATCTTACCAGTTCATGTGGTAGCTGCATTCTTTTTTTCTAAGCACATTTTCTGCAAGTACAGAATATACCTGTTGATCCTGCCAGAATTTCAATGTGCTTGTAATTTCCTGTGCAGTTAATGGAAATCCCAAACAATGTTATCAGCCTTTCCAGCTCTCTTTGGTGAACTACAAAACCCTTCTCTTATTTAATGCAGACGGGGGTGTTTGTAGTCCAAACTAGGAGTGCAGCCTAGGCTAACACTGCTGCTCCACCATAGATACAGTGCCTTGAGTACATATTTTAACCCTAGGACAGGAAATGTGGCAATGGAAGGATCGTCAAGCAGGAAGAAAGAAGCAGAACTAGTGCATCTACCTCATCTAAGGACTCGTAAGATCCAATATATCACATTTTTGTTTTGGGGTTTAAATATATTTTAATGTATTTTTGTTATTCATGAAGTTCCCATGTTTTAGAGAGAGATTTTCATATTTCTTCATGTGAAATGTGTGTTATACAATATTATGCTATTTTTGCAATATTGACTAAAGCTCGTTGTATTTTGTTTAAGCCCTGATGAAGACAAAATAGGTGAAACTGCTGAAACACGTTGGCGATCATTCTCTATTATTGTGACAAATAAAATATGGTTAAATGGCCAATTAGATTATGGTGGTCTTAAGTAAGTACATTTTTACCTTATTCCTCACTCCTGTAGACTTCTTTTCCACCAATTCTATGATGGAACTGGCACAGAAGAAACCACTTCTCATTGCTGGTCATTCTCGTCAACATCACATACAATGCAGAACCAGCAGTCTTGCATTGTATGTGAGGACGTTGGAGGCTGGCCAACATTGAGCAATAAGTAACAAATAAGGCAAATATTTCATTACTTTACACCCCTTCTAGACTACATTTAACCCTTACTAAATGGGAGGGCACACAAAAGTTATTTTCACAGGCTGCCAGCAGTTCAGATTTAAAGCAACCCCTGACCTGGAGGCTGTCCATTTAATGCATACATACATTTCCCACAAGGCCAACCAAGGCCCGGCCTTGGGGTAGCAGGGAGCAGAGAGGCAGCAGGGGTGTGGAATTCTTATCTCCCGATGCCCGAGTGGGTAGTTGTTTTCTACATTTAGCCCTGCTTTGGGCAAGCAGAGCTTAATGTACAGCGTGGAAGCCACCGCTTGTGTTGTACAAGTGATCTCGGCGACATTGTATGCAGCCTGCAGGTCTGCCATTCTCCAAGGGGGGAGGGGAGTTTTGCTGGTAGGGGGTCGCATTGAAGTACCTGGCCTTGGGGCAGCAGAGAAAGTAAATACGGCCCTGCATACATATTTTGATTCCTACTTTGCCATCAGGTGTAATCTTTTTCCTACCTGTTGGGTAATACTTGTTCGAAGAACCTCTTCTATCTCTGGCTTAATGGCATCGTAGACATAACTTTAAAAAAATAAGAAAGAAATACTAATTTATTCAGTGCATTGTCATACTGAACTGAAGTACAATAAATAAAAGTGACTCCGACTTTATTAAATAGGAACTAGGAAATAGTACCCACATCTTTGAAATGACAGAAAAAACACCTTTAGAAATGTATAGTAATGACAATCTACAAACACAAACTTCTGTATAAATTGCCGGCTTTTTATTCTTTGCATACCTTATTTTTCTTTTCCTCCCCAGTCTTCTCACAGTGGCCATTTTTACTAAAGGCAGATTAATATATATCTCTCTACTCCCTAGAACTCTGGCACATGTGACTAGGGCATGTGACCATGCACATCATCTCATGGGAGGAAATGCCTTTCTCTGAGATCTGGTGAGATGACAGATAAGATTTCCCAGCAATTTCCCAGCTGATGGAACCTTCCCAGGACGCATCGCATGGGCATAGAAAACATCACTAATGCCCAAGAGGACCAGGAAGTGGAAAAACAATAATTGTATGTAAAGGAAAAATACTAATGAATGTAAAGTGATTTTATATCAGCATGCAGAGTTGAATGCCCAGGATGCAGAGAAGTTAGAATCTCTTTCTCTCGCCTGATAATGTTTTATTGCTGTCCATGCCTTTCTGTCTTGATGACAACCACACCTTCCAAGCATCACTTGGACAGGAAATGAGGGAAAATCTCCCCAACAGGGTCACAGACAGAAATGGGACTCATTCATATGGCTGTAGAGGGCCATACACTGCCAAGAAGGGGCAATTTTTTGCACCTAGTAGTCACGGGTATATGGGGCCAGCAGACTGTACAAATCAATGACAGACATCACGGCTGTACGTAAGTCCGAGAAGGTTACATGCATACAGGAATAAATGATCGGTAGGTACTGGATGCGAACTGTTTACGTCAGAGGTGCTTATCCGTCCTAGCACGCATACAACTGGTTAGGCTTGCATCCAGCCATGACGTCTCTCAGCCTGTCATTGAAAAATTGAGCATGTGCTTCCTACAAAAAGCCTAAATCACATGCACACTGTCATCTAATTGCTACATACCCCACGGTTATAGGGTAATGGCTCATCTGAAATTGCATACATTAATTGTAAAACTGATTCATTACACCAGCTGGCATGATTGTGCAGATGGATATTTACAAGCAGGCTCATTATTATATTACTGCTCCAGATGTAATTGTAACAAAATGTTCTGCCCTGGAGAATAATACGTTCATAAAACAAAAGCAAACAATGAAATTGCTGCATTAATGTATGTAAAGGGAGTTTATGAATATTATTTTTCAGAGAACAATTAGTTTCAAGGAAAGGTCTCACTAGGTAACATTCCATACCACAACAAATGAAGTAACTAGCATTGTCATGTAATAGTACACAGACTACCTTTACCAATCAAACTCCCAAACAACTCCCATCAATACTCATATAAAACATGGGAGCCATTCATCCTGCAAATCTCTGTAAACATTAGAATAGAGGCATAAAGAACCTTATGTTACCCAGCTGGATCTAGTGGCCATAATGAAAATTGACAAAAGCCATTTAAAATGTTTTTTTTTTGCGAAAGAAGGGGCACTGACAGGGGTGCACACTTATCGAATTTTGAGCAGTGTAAGGCCAGCTTAAGTGTTACTCTTCCCTTTTTATCACTTACATGTTACCTGACGAGCAACTGGCACAACCCAGAATTCAACTTGACAGTTTTCTTGACAGAAATTTCCACATTTTGACAGGCTTGTAGGCCTGTGAATTCACACATTTGTGTTTTCCATTGAAGTCAATAGAAAAGTATCAAAATGCAGGTTAACACATATGTTAACACGCATGTCAACACGTGTTGATAGGTTGACCTCAGTACGAAGTGCACTGCAACATGCAACAATACATGTTTTGGGGCATTTCTACTAATTTTAATGGAAAACAAATAAAAAGGAAACATGCAAAGGTAAATAATGGACAGCAGTGGTAGATGTGGGGAAAGAAAACCTCCTGAATATTTGACACTGTCCCAAAGATTTGTAGATTTGGTAAGATAAATTCCTAGGTAGAGAAGTATCATAGGTTCCCATTGATAGCACCGAGAGTTTGGCGAAGGGGGTGGAAGGGAATGGTTAAGCAAAATAGATTTTGCAGGACTGACTAGATAACCACAGATGGCACCAAAATTTGAGAGAAGTTGGTGCAAGTTAGGCAGAGATATGAGTGGCTTGGTGATGCTAAGCAGCAAAAAGGCTCCATTTATACTGATGACCCACAATCAACACTCCGGAGTGCACAAAAGTAGTTCAATTGCCAGAGCAAATAGAAGGGAAAGTGGGCAGCCCTGCCTAGACCCCTTTTAAGATTGGAAAAGAGGAGGATTGAAAGCCAGCATCTTGTCCATAGGGAACAGTGTAGCAGTATGGAGGTGAAACCGATGCGTGACATTTCGAACTGAAGCCTCATTTCTCCAAAATGTAGAACAGGTAAGGCCAAGACAGGGAATCAAAAGTATTGTTGATGTCTAATGATAACAGCATCAGCGAAATGTTGCATTTCATGGAGGCCCCAATCAACAGCGCGATTTTACAAATGTTATCACTAGCTTGCCTAATTGGCACAAAACTGCCTATGAGTAAGGCCTCATATCTCTTGATTCGGTATATATACTTTAATGGCTAAGTAACATATAACCAATAGCTAACATTTGCAGCAGTTACCTTATTCCACTCAGCATTTTGAAATCAATTTCTTTAATAGTAGATTGGCAGTCAAGCATAAACACTGATGGCAATCCAGGTTCGATCCGACGAACCCCCAAGAGCATGAAGATGGATGTTCCACTTAATGTTAGCACAGCTGATGCACTATCATTTCTAAAAGTAAAATAATAATCATCATATTAGTAGGGAAAAACTGATACAGACTTCTGCTTCTGAAAACGCTACGGATCTGGCTGTAATGCTGTTTTTAATACATTGA